CGACCCGCTCAGAATTGCTATATATTGGAAATGAAACCATCAGTTCCAATATATAGCAATTTTGAGCGAGTCGAAACTATTCGTCAACTTTTCAATCAACATTTTAAAAAGTGACCCTGAGGCGTTATTAAAAAAAACTATCGGCGAATACAAATATTGATAAATAGTGTGAAAATGTTTTTTTTTGGATAGGGAGTGGCCATCCTCCTTAAACCTAGAACTGGTATCTACTAACCCTTTTATATTAAAAAAGTTTCTTGATAAATTTTTAGCTTTTTTTTTCGAGGGTTATTTTTCCTCTGCATTGCGATTGATCGTAAATTGTTTTCTCGAAGCAAGCAGTGGATCTTTTTCTGCCCTAGAGTATGAGGACCAATTGTTTAAAATTTCAAAAAGTTCGTATCTCAATTTTTGCCAAAAGTTGTGCATTTTGAGCCGCACTTGTTAAGTAAGTGATTGTTTGCAAGCATTCAAAAAAGCTCACGTTTGTCCCTTATCAAAAAAAATTTGATTTTCTTTTTTTTCTTAGTTCTGAACAAATTTATTGAACTTTTCAGTTTTTTTTTAAACTGACGCTCGAAGTTGAATCAAACTAAAATGAAGCCCGCCAATTGGTCCAAATAGTGCGTTAGCAAACAAACTGAGAAAAAATATCATTTATTGTTCAACGAAAACTACTTCAGCAGGTTTAGATGCAGTTGGAGCGTTGTTGGCTCTGAATTGATACAATCAGTCTTGATCATCAATGAGTCATGATTGCTTTTTTGCTTCAGTGGTGAAAAAAAGTATGCAAATTTACAAAAAACTTCGAATAAATGATTTAATTATTGGTTGTAATGAATTTTGCTTTAATCAAATTTTATTCTCTATTTCTATTTTGTACAACCATTAACAAAACCTTTAAATGCTACTTTTCTTCTGTTTATTACAAAGAAATCATATACGCTGGAATCCCTTATAGGCGAAGGAGCGAATGGTTGAAATTAAAAATCAGCCAATCAGATTTCAGTATTCCAAAATCTGGAAAGAAAGCGTGAACTCAAAGAAAGTAATATTGGGGACTTAATATTAAAATAAAAACGGCAAAAATCAACAACATTTTCAAATTATCACTGACTGCTGGCGAATTGGAAGAAGATTCTTATTTCATAGGCTTCGTTTTGAAAGAAGCAAATCTTGGAGCAAATCTCGTTATAAAATAAGCACATCTCGTTATAAAAGAAGCAAATCTTGTTTTTGTTTTCGATCCATCGCCCATGAGTATTTTGCCCGTTCGGAACTTCGCCCATGAGAATAGCCCCCATTATATACAGAATATAGACGGGCTGTATAAGGATTTATAAAGGTTATTTACATATTATGCACAGATTGTATTTTTGTTATGATAAACTGAAGAAAAGTATGCTTCTCAATTGATTGTTTCCTGTTGATTTTTAATTGAAAAGAAGTTTTTTAAGAAAATTGAAAGTGAATATCTTGCAGAAAAATTTAGCTGTGCTAAAAATTTGATCATAGGATTGACATTTGAAAAAGTTTCGCAAAAATATTTTTTTTTTCTATTGAAGTTACTCTAAGATCGCAAAAGTTTTGATTTGCGGAGAAACAACCCTGCTCAAGTTACTTTGTCTGGCTCTAACACTGACAAATAATTTTCTTAGTATATTTTTTGGTTAGGTTTTTTGGCAAAAGCAATCATCAGTTTAAGTTTGATGGTTAAAATTAATTTTTATTTACTGTAATAGATTTTTTTCAGGATAATCGATTTTATAGAGTTAAATGCAAATCATCTGAAAATCATTCACAAATTTTAATTTTTTTAAAGATTAAACATAGGTTATGCACAGAGTATTTACAAGTTTCAAGCAATTAAAAGGAATAAGACATTACAATTAGCAAATTTTAGTTTTGGTGAAAATGAATGCTTTCTATCTGTATAAAAAAAATTTCGTAAAATGAATAAAAATAAATTGTTTCTTTTTTATGTTAATCTGTAAATTTTTCTGTATATAATGGATATTAAACTTTTTTACAGCGTGTTTGCACAATGATTTGTTTTTATTCTGTGAACAGTTTTTCATCCTGAATAAGTTCGTTTCAGAGTCACCGCTTTGACTCTGAAAACTAACTTTGAAAAAATGATATATAAATAAATCACAAAAATAAACTATGGTAAAAAAAAGCAATAATCGGTTCACTACATATACAGGATAGTCGACAACAGTAGCACAGAATGTTCCGACCTTAGTCTATGAGAAATAACAAAAAATAATCTGAAATGTTAAAAGGATCTGACGTAAAAATGTTAAAATGTATTTTAAGCATATTGGACAGTCATAGTAAAACAAGCAAATTGGACAAAAAAATTTTTTTAAAAAGACTAGAAAAACAAAAAAAAACAATATGCAAAGTTTTTGTTTTCCAAAATGGCGCTAAAAAACTTTAAAAACTAATTTAAATGCTTAAAGTTAAGTTTTTGGGGCTCAAATAAAGCAGAAATAAGCTCCTTAAAGCCTGCTCGCTTGCTTTATCTTCTTGTAGCTGAGATGAAAATCAAAATTTCAAACCAGTTTTTCTCAATTCTTAGCAATTTTTTTGTTAAATGTTAATGTCGTTCAGATCACGACTGAAAGGGGTTCAATTTGGTATATCAGGCGCCCATTTCGATTATTTTGTGATACCTGATCTTTCGTTGAAAACAAAAAAGCAAAAAAAATAAACAACAAGGATAGCCAGTTATTGTGCAAGTAGCACAGAATTTTCCGACCATAGTCTTAAGCAAAGTACAAAATTTTTTCAAATTGTTATCGTTTTTTTTTCGGCCGGGTGTGATAAAATAAGCTGAAGAAAAAACTGGGGATTAGATATATTTGACAGTAATAGTAATATAAGCAAATTGAGAAATTATTTTTTTTCTAGAAAAATTACTAGAAAAACGAAGATTTTTTTTTTTAATTCGATATTTTTTTCCAGTTTTTTTTATTCCAAAAAGGCCCTAAACTACACGAAGTAATCTAAAGTTACTCAAGAAAAACTAAGTTTCTACGTTTTAAATTAGGCTATTGTACGCTTTAAAGCAATTAAAAAAAGACTGCCCGCTCGCTTTATTTACTCGAAATAAGACGAAGAATCACAAATTTCAAAACGTTTTTCCTCGACACTGGGATTTTTTTTCAATTTTTTAAATTTGCGTGGAAAACAAAAAGAAAAAAACTAAAACACACCAAAAACAATGTTCCTCCCCATTTTCAATGGTCCAACAAAAAACTAAAACACACCCGAATGCAAAGAAAATTCCTCGGCGTTTTCAAATATCTTGGATATGAAAGTTTGCAACGTTCGATAACCGTGTAACATATTGGGATCTTTTTCTCTCTTTGCTTGTTGTTTTTACCCGACTTGAAAACAGTTTGCTTTTATTGAGTTGTCTAACGTCGAATTATTTGCAGTAGTCTTTTTTATCTGTGCATTTATGACTAGTGTTGATTCCCAGTGCAATATCCACAATTTCGCCTTCTTCTATTTTCAAAGTGTTTCTTTTCTAAATCGTTGACTTCGTTCAAGGAAATTGAGGAAATCAGTTTGTTTGAAGAGGAAGCTCAATTGCCTATATTACTGTTGGACCATTTTGATTTGATTCCCTCATAACATCTGAAGAAGAAAAAATCTAAATGAGAATCAAAATGCTAGGTTTATAGATCCTTCTTCTGCTCAAGTTTCCTCTATTTCATTCAAAACTACCATTGGCTGTAAAATCAAAACTTTTTAAATTTTGTTTCTGAACGGAAATGGATGTTCGAATTGCAAATTTGGAGTTTGAAAAACTTTAAGGCAGATGTTTTTGATAAGGTGTTTTCAATAACCGTGGCTATTTTTATCTTTCTTTTATTTTTATTGTCACACTGTTGCTTTTTTGTTCACGTCTTGAGTTCTTGGTGTTTCTTGATGCCAGAATTGTAGATTTTCTCGGGTATGTAACAAAGCTTATGATGACGATGATTTACGATGGTCGAATTTTGATCTAGACCCTATTATACTTTCTATAATGATGGGTTTGTTTCAACCGTCCTTTGCCCAAAGAAACATGAATGTACAAAAAGCCATACAAAAGAGGAAATATGCTTTTGTGGTGATGTCTGTACGATGCCTAAACTGAAACAATTATTGGAATTATCGATTATTGAATAATTAATAGAGCGAAACTGATATAGCATTTGTTCAGCTCTGCTAAATGAATGAACACAATTAAATAGCTCCGGGCTGATTTCATGCAGGGTAAAAAAATACCCCGCCCTTTCAGTAATAAGCAATAGTTCCCATCCTGTCTATTGAAATTGGATACTTATACCCAGGAGAGCAGAGTTCCAATTACTTCTGTGAAACTATTTTTGACTCCGATAATCACTTTTGATGAAGCGCTGCAGCTAGCTTAGACACACAACAAAATTGGAAGAAGAAAAACAGAACCCCCTCCCCTCCCCCTGTGAAACATGTCTACCCCTCTTTTCTGCCTCTTTGATCGAATCATGTCTTATGTCAGCTACAAAATACGTTATTTGCACTTTTATTTGCCCGTTGGAGTACGAATTAAAACACGTGTGTTAAATGACACCCTAACTTCTAACAGTCATAAAACTTGATAAATAGCTTGCAGGTTTAAATCGTAAAATGGGTTTGCTATTGTTTCCAGATTGAAACGATTGTTCTATACTCATGTACAATCACCAAATATCGGACCACCAATTGGTACCAAAAACAAAAAAATATAAGAAACAGCCAGTTCAAGTGACCTCGCCAAGTTCTGATTTTCCAAAAAGTTAATAATATCAAATCGACGCATCCAACTTCAAAGCAAGCTGGTTCAGATCACAGTTTAGCTTAAGTAAATTTCGAAAAAAGATTAGTGGGCAAAATTGTCAGTGAAATTTATTCGGTTCAATTTTTATCAATTTCCCACTCGGTCAAAGTTTAATTGGCCGGAAATTGTTTCGGGTCAAACCGGATATTTGTTTCTCTTTCCATTGTGTGTTATTAAGTTCACAGAAAAGCAATTGCTTGAAAAATATCACCAGTTTATGAAAACATAAATATTATTATATGCAGCAGGCTATATTCAACTAAAGTTTATCAGTGTTGGTCACGCAAAAAAGTAAAAGAATACTGCAAAAAAAGAATTTGCTTTTTATACAAAGTTCAGACAATTTTTTTGTTGGAAGTTTTCTGATACAAACTTAATCTCAAAGAAAAATTGGTTAAGTTTCATAGTTTTTGATTACTTGTCTCCCTAATCTTTGATCGTTTCTTGTTTTTTCGAAAGGAAAATAATGGAAAATTTGTGCTTGATTTGTCTCTTTTTGTTCCGACTTTTGTAACGAAAGTAATGGAATATTTGTGCCCGAGGTGGTTTTTTTCAGATAGACAAATTTCTACTTTTGAACTAGACATTTTTGACGGATTTTCAAAATACCATTTTAAAGATATTGTTTTCCTGGGCTTAAATTTGAAAAGATATCTTACCTATGATCATTTTTCGTAAAGTTATGGGATTTAAAGATTGCCATTTCGGCCGATTTGGAGCAACCAACGCCCGATATATTTTGCACTTTTAAAGCGTAAGCGAAGATTTAATCCGTCTTAGAAATTGTTCCATTTTCGTTGATGGAAGTATATTTGCCATAATTGAGTTGTTAATAGGAGCAAAATTTATCACTTTGTACTCAATATGGCGTTTGGGGAGATAATTTTCACAATTTTTTTTTAATTTTCTTTTTATTTTCATTACTTTTATTTTTTTCTTGTTATTACTGCTCTATATACCTTAAAATGCAGTCGGAACTTTCAAGGATTTGCCCTGATACGAGTAGTCGTGTGTTATTATCGGAACGAACGTTTCAATTTTGTGAATAAAATTTTCTACTGAGTTATTGTAAGCCATCAATCAATTTTTGTAAAGCTGCTATAATGGTTTGAACTGAAAGTCTTTGCCACATAAAAATATATAAATATATTGAGCAACAAGTTTCCTTTTTATCGCGCGAGCGGCCAATTAATTTGTCTCGAAAGTGTGTTTGAAAATCAACGCCCAGAAAAGACTTTTTCGGTTTGAACTAAGCAAAAATTTCGAGCGCGGAGATAATCAATTGAGAATGTCAAAAAGATTTCTCAAAAATTTTAAAATTTTTTTAATGCAATTTGATTTAATATTTCATCAACAGTTCCAAAATACTGTCGGAGTTACAATTAATTCGATTGTTTTCACATTTTTTCAACATTTTTAAAGTTCTCTCAAGTGAACTAAAAACGACTTCTTAAATTGGTTTTTGTCGACTTTTCAAAAATGTCGGAAAATTTCAAATAACCATTATCACGATTGAAAGAGCTTAAATATGATAATAAATCAATCATGGCAAATTCTTTTGGTACACATTTTGGCTAAGAAAAAATAGAGTAAAAAGTTTAAAACATCCAAAAAAACTTCGCAGCTCCGTCCAAAAGCTCCTATTTCTTTTTTGTAAGATAGCGGCACATGATTTGCTTCGCCTCATCTTCAAGTGGAAAAAAGAAAGTTTTGCGCTTTGATCGGTTTCGTAGTTGACAACTGCAAATCAATTTGTATACGCATTGGAAAATGCATACGCATACTTTTTGTTTTTGTATGAAAAATATGTGGTTTTCCGTTGAATTATATTGGCACTGATTCTTATGGGAAATTGCGCTTTTCTGAAAAAGTTTTCTAAGATAGCGACTATTGGTCATTTTTGGTTCCTCTTAACATTCAAGAACAGTTATTGACATGTTTCACTTAGTGGAAATAGATGTTAAGTAATCTCTGCAGCTGAAAAAAAGTTAATTAAAGAGAAAACTTCAAAAGTTGATCATTCATATGGTTTTCTTAAATTTGTAAATTTTATTCATTAACAATTTCATTAAATCTAAATCTGTATAAAATTTCACTGTGAATCTGCGAATTCAATTTCATTCAATAAGTCTAAATCTGTGCTGTGTTTTTGCTGAGCGGTCATTGCAGCAGACTGTTTGCGACTGTTGTTTTGACTATTCAGACCAGAAGCTGAACTCTGGTTACTCACACTGCTGGCTGAAGTTTTTGAGTTTTGACACATTGTCGTCAACTTGGAGTCCGATGAGCCGGTGTGTTGTAATAACGAGGAATGAGAAGACGTGTCTGCCAGTATAACACTCATCTGGTGTGCTCTGTCCAGACAAATGCCAGTTGTAGATACTCTCTTGGACATTGGGGGCAAAGTGGACACTTTACACATTAGGGGGTCCAGTTTCTCCTCGCTCACTTCTTTGAGGTCCGAAGTTGCGATGTCGTGGCAACAGGGTCCATGTCTTTCCATACCCACCCCTCCTGTTCTGAGGGGGCTGAGAAATTGGGCAGTAGAAAAGTTCACATTATCGTCACTGAAACAATAAAATTATATTGGAGAAAAGTTCTAAACTTTAGCATAAATAACTGGCATATTTTACAATTAACTGAAATTAGGTGCGTGACGACAGCAAACTCAAACTGCTGTTCAATAAAGCAGAACATGATTACTCTATCCAGCTAGATGTATTTGGACTGTCCATTTGACTTGATGAGTTTACCTTGATTGACAGATGGCGGATGAGGATAGATATTAATAGAAAACACAGCTTTTTTTTAAATTTGGTTGAAACTTTCATAATATGCAACAGAATTTTCTAAGGAAGCGGATTGCCAAGTAAGAAAACGTTTACCATCTTTTCCAGTTCTACAAAATTGATTTCTCGAGCTGTCGCAAAAAACTAATAATACCTCATTTCAGCCAACTTTTCTGCGCAGCAGGCAAATTTTTGAAAAAAAAACGGGCCAAAGTGACAATTTTTTGGCGCTCGACCCCCTCTTTTCTATTTAACTTAAAATATATTGGCGGTAGACGCGCCTCTATAAAAATTAGAAAATTAGGGTTGTGTGATCAAAAATAAAGTTCGGTAATAAATTAGTAGAAAAGGGGTAACCAATTAGGCGGTGCGGGGTTCGAACCCTTGCCCCCATCTCCCTCTAAATCCACCCCGGTGTGCACCTTGAAATTAGAAAACCAGGGAAAACGATTAAACCGGTTTACTGACCTTTGGAACACATCGGACTCGAAAACTTGAGTCTTCCTCTTTCCAGGAATAATTTTCTTCACCTTCCCTTCTTCTGTTTCAACGTTGCCGTCACTTTTGTTCTCTGTTTCCCTGTCATTTATACTGTTTTGCAGCGTTTTGATATTGATTAATTTGAACACGTTTTCGAACACGCAGTTCTGAAGGGATCGGATATAGTTCTCGTAATCTCTGTGCATTGATAACGCCAACACTTTCTCCGGGTTCTCGTGGGACTCAAACAAGTTCACGCAGTGAAAAATTAAATCATCTCCTTGCGTAGACTCAAGCGTGCTCAGATTAAGTTCAAGTTCTTCTGTCGGCTCAAGGTCAAGTAGATTCATATATTCCAGCTCCAACTGGGCCAACTTCGATTCCAACCCCTGTTTCAGGTGAATGTACTTCCGAAGGAACTCCTTGTCTTTCTCTGAAGTGTATTTCTGAAAGTACTCCACATAATCTGGGTCTGTGATTTGCAAGTGTGATTTGGGTCGCTGGCTTGCATTATTGCGCTTCCCATTCGTCGCTCGTTTTTCCGGCTCTCGTCGCTCTTTCTTCTCTGACTCCGAGGGGGGCAGACTGGCCGGTAATTCCTCCTCCAGGGGTCTTATGTGCACCCCCTGCTTCCGTTTGATAGTGGGTGTGTTCCCCAATGATACTGCCCCGTTTTTGTACTTTTCCTGATTGGCTGATGCGAACTCGTCCGAAATAGTGACAGTTTTACGAAACGGGATAAACTCGGATATCTTCTTCATCGAAGTCGATGTTTTGTGTTTGGCGCTCAGACTTAGTTTTCTCAAATACTCGGCTGAGTTTGCCAGCGAATTTCTTCTGACTGGTTTTGAGTTCGGCTTGGCTTCTCTAACTTTATTTTTTCCGCTTGGATTGAAACTGCAATCTTCAGATTTCTGTAATGGCAACAGTCCCAGAGTTTTTGCGTGAGCTTCGGCGTTGTGCTTGGAGTAACTGCTGTCGCTTTTGAGACTGTTTGGATAACTGGTATCACTGTGCAAAATATTGTCCGTTTTGCTTGTCAAGGACAGTTTTCCTCCACTGTTTTTTGAATCATTGGAGCGTGTCTCGATTGGCGTGTTCGACTGAAGTGAATAGCTGAAACAGTATGGCACAACAGAACTGCTATTAGCTCGTTTTGTTTTAACACTTCTGTTCTTACTGTTATTTTCCTGTTTATCGGAATCAAGTGTAACTTGAGCAGGAAAAGTTAAATCGCCACCGCAGTCCTGTTCAATGTTATGTTTACTAACTGTCGTCCCCAATTCGCTCATTGGCCCAAATAAGAGGGTGCTGCTATTTTCGCTCGATACATTGCAGGGACTAGTTGGTCTATTTTTCACAATTTCACCCCTGATCCAGTTATGATTACTGAGGGGAATTGGTGAAGTTGACTGCAGTTTATTGTTGACATTTTCAGGGGACGATTTGGGGTAATATTTCGATTGCGCACTCAATAAATCCAATGATAAGTTGTTTTGATAATCAGGAATAGAGCTGGCAGCCAGGCCCGGCTGTTCTTTATCGTCCAAAGCCGCACTCCTTGCTAATCCAATCTGGCATGATTGTCGGCTGCTATTTGGATCAACGCTTATTTGATCACATTCATTAGAAATATTATCTTGGGATTTGTCGCGAGACTGCTTCGGTTCAATGGCCGCCGATTCTATTTGGAACATGTGGCTGGACATTGTCTCTGTGTAGTGGGTTTGATTAATGTCTCTTTTGAGCTGTTCTATTGTAGTTCTAAATTATGCCACCATCGGTCAATAAAAAAAGCAAATGCGATGAGTAGAGTAGTTATAACCACAAAAGTCAGAGATCAATTTTGTGGGTGAGCATTATTGGTGTCATAACTGCGTGAACATAAATAATTTGTGTTCATTTCCCGAAGGACGACTATCACAATCATCAACTAATTGGAGTTTCAGTAAGCGAATCCCAGAACACATTTTTATGCGCTTTCTAAATGGTGTTATAAATTGATTCTTAATGAATACTCGTAAGAAAAAGTGTAGGAAAAAGTTTAGCTAACAGAAATCTAAATGAAATTAGGTCATAAAATTTTAGGTCGATATTGGATATCAATGAATCACAAGAACTTTTCTTCTTTAATAGTGGTTGCTGTTTCAACAAGTAACTTTTCTGAATTCCGGCTGGCGTTTTCATGAATAATGTTTGCCCCGACAACTTCAAAACCCACAAGCAGTTGAGGTAACTTTGTCGATACAATGGGTTGTTGTTTCAGTTTGAAGGTCGTATTCGTGGTATAACTTTGATGCGTATCAAGTTAGAAAGTATCTTCAGAGAGCTAACTCTTAACTCTCCCTCTATCTCTTATTTAAGAGACTTTTATTTCACTGTTCGAAATTGGCTAGCAACTGAGCAGTTCTGAGATCGAAAATTCCGCTAAACAATAAAGAATGGTTAGTAATAGAGTAGCAAAAAGTTGGTACAGACAGAATTCATTAAAAAGAGCAAATAACCTATATCAGAAAGTTTGTGCATGCAAATTTTGCTCAAAGTTGACAGATTGCTCTTTTTAAATAATTCTGTCTGCTCCAACTTTTCGTAACTTTTTTACAATGGCATGTCAGTGGCCAAATGAAAGTGTGGTTGTTTTTTTTGTTGCTTTTCTTGTTTTTTTTTCTGAAGACGTGTTGGTCTCCTCTTAACTAAATTGTGTCACAAACATCAAAGACACGAAAAAAAGTTAACACAACAATTATTTTTGTGATTTAAATGACAAGTTTTTACAGTTAAGCAATTTCCAGTCGGCTCTTTTTTCAAAAAATTCAGCCGTGAAATTAAAGTTGAAAGTAAGATTTGAATGCTTGGTAGTGAAGCAAGCCTTTAACGCTAGCATTTTTTTGTATTATGCTCAAACATGAGTCTAAGCAATTAGAAAAAGATTAAAAGCTTACAAGTTACACGGCCACGAATTCACTACATGTAGAGCAGAAAGGCTGCACCAGCCCCAGAACGGTTCTCTCAAATGTGGCATTTAAATTCACAAGAACATGCAAATTTATAACTAGCCCAATTTTAAATGGTTTTCTTTTTTTGTCAGTAAGTAGAAGTTCAGAATAAATGAGCTTCTTCGGTTTGAAAATTTTACAAAAAGTACCGGAATGAAATATACTATTTTTGCCTTTTAAGACCACTTTTCAAGCATTGCTTCATAAGAGACTTGCAATTTGGCTCAGAGAAAAATATAAGCTATTAAACATTTTCCATATCAGCCAACAACGCTTATAATTTGTATCTATAACATATCAATGAATAAAAATTGTTTAAAAAAAAGCGTCTGTCAAATCCCATAGCTTGAAATTTTTCAATAAATAGCTCAATTTTATTTGACAGTTCTCAAGTCTTATCGTGAAAGCAACTACTGAACCGAAAACTGCTGAACCGAAACTTCCAATTCGTTAATTACATGCCTTTTTTGTACTCTGCAAAAATTTATTACACAATTGGATCGGTAAAACAAGGAAACACAAGAATGATATTCAGTGCCTTGAATCAACTCGGAAACCTGCAAAAATAATATTTGAACGGCGATTCAGAAAGCATTTGGATACATATTTATAGCCAAAAAAAGGAAAAAGACCTGTTTGTTGCCATATTAAATGGAATTGCTTCGTTTCGGCCTGCCCCATATTGAAGGTCTGCATTTTTTTTAGTAGTCATTGATCCAACTTTGGCTGTGGATCAAAAGTTTTATTTTGTATATCTTTCATAAATTTGGGGGGTATACCGAAAAGACTCCTAATATTTTCGCATATTATGCTTCCCAAAAAGATTTTTAAAAAATGAAGAAAATTACTTGTTATCAAAGTATTCATTGTGGATTTTTTTTGTGTTACCAACTGCAAGAATTGTTTTTTTTAGATTTTGTAATATTCCTAAAACGAAAAATCTAAGATGCCAACTTTTGTTCCGTTTTTACTTACGCAATATCCTGCATAGGGAAACAAATCATCAGTCGACTATTGCATTGTTTCTCATTCAGGGTTTTGTGACTCAGACCGTTTTGAGAAAAAACTTCAATTAAAAAAGCTACCAGTTTGTTAAAAAAATTGGTTATTTTGCATTCTGATCAATCATATAATTGCTTTTGCATACAAAAACTTGAATCAATTTTTTCTTGCAAAATTTGTTTGAAAAAAATTAGTTCCTTAATTTCTAATTTCAGTTTTTTAACAGCTTAATTTAATCATTGTTAACAGTTTCAAATATCGTTTTAATTGCAGAATACCGTATGGGCAAATCAACATTTCTATAGATGAACTCAACATTTCGACTCAGTTGTTGCCGAATTTCGTTTGTTGGCCCCGTCATTAAACATTCAATTTACTTGAGTGAGTCAATTTAATGAGCTTACCAGGACTAAAAAAACAGTTTCAACTTTTTAAGCCAGGCAACTTTCCAACGTTTTGCAACACGTTTCAACTATTTTTTGGGTTCTTGACAGCGGTATGAAATTTAGGTGAAATGAAAATTTAAAAGTCCTCCAAGTTTTTCTTGTGTTTTTTGAGGAAATTTTCGATTCTCTGAACATGATATTTTGACTAAATTTCATATCATTTGAAATTGTCTTTGCCTGGAATCAAAATTTAAAAAATAACTTACTTGATATCTTTTTTTGTAGCCAGGGTTTTCAAGGATGGATAGTAGAAAGTCAATCCTGTCAATCTGGTATAATAATATCAATGTTTTTTTTACTTTCAATTTAAGTTTTAAGTCATATGCGGCATTTCTATTAAACATTTCCTAAAAGTTTATCTCGAAGTCGATAAGAAATAATAATGTAACTTGAGGCTGTGTCTTGCAGTTGTTGTTTTTGATTGTTTTTGTTCACAGTTTTTCAAGTGCAAAATTGACAGTTTTCCGTGAAAATTAGAATCAAAATATCGATTATATCTTTTACAATCCAAAAAATGCCCACAAACAATTTAATGCGGACAAACTTTACAATTTTTCTGCATCAAACAGACTTTAATGCGTTTATTCAGAATTTTTAAACAAAAATGATTGAAAATCAATCAATTTGTGCAATTTATTTTTTTAGAAAGTCGGAAAAAAATTGTTCAAAAATAAACAGAATGGAAAAAAAATTAAAGTGAAGGATGAATTTCAAACAGAATTTAACAGACTTCAGCTGAATGATTTGTAACAAAGATGGCAAATTAATTTATGTTTTCCTATCACGTATTTAAAAACGAAGCTTGTACGACTTTTCTTTGATTTATGTATCTTTAGTTACATAGACTGAATAGTTAAAATCAAGCATTTGTTGGCAAAATAATTGTACTACGTTTTGAAAGTCGTTAAACACATTTCAATTTTTATTGATACGTTTTTATGAGGAGTGATTGTCTTTTTTAGGTAAGAGACTCACGCAAAACTATTCGTCTCAAGTAATATAATTTGTTTTAATATGTGTTTCGTCCATGTGAAAAATGTGGAAGAATTTTGTATTTGAGTGCGTGTGTTTTACTTTTTTGTTCTTTTTCTCTTTCATTTCAACCGTAAAATCAGTTACCACAAATAATCTTCTGAACAGTTCGATTGATATATTATATTAAATTCCTTCCAGTCAAAAGTTTTTACAATTGACTAGAAAAATCGGTTTGAAATTTTTGGTTTTTCACCTAATTTCGAGCGAGTACAGCGAGCGAGCCTGCTAATTTGTGCTCAATTTAGGCCATTTACGATAGCCTAATTATGCCTAATTTTAACTTTCTTCGAGAATTATTACTTTTTTGAGTTTCGTTAACGCCATTTTGAGAATCAAAATTTCAAAAACTCAAAAAATTTCGTCTATAAAACTGAAAAAGTTTTGAATTGTTTTTTGCTTGTCTACCGATTTTTTGTTTTGGTTTTTATAGTCCTTTTTCTTCAAAAACAGTTTTTCAGTTTGCCCTTTTATCATAAATATCGAATATGCCTAAGTTTTAACTTTTTGTCTATGTCCTTTTATCACACAACGCAGAAAAACGACTTTTATTTGAAAGGAAAACTTCCTCAGTAACCGGCTGTCCTTGTTTTAAATTAAATTTAGTTGTCTTAATTATGAACACTTGCCATACAAAAAAGAGTTTCTCCCACGGTACACTTCGTTTCCTGTTAATTGAAACTCAATGTTGCTCCTTTACTGGTCTTTTACTGGATATTACAATGAAAAATGGGAACAAAAAAGTATCAATTTAATTGGAAACAACGTCGACTCTGATACACTTAAATATCATAACTGTAGTTTTTTTCTCCATAGTACAAAACTTGGAAATGAAATTCACGCTATTCAAATGGTCACTAGGAAACCAGAGTAGCTGGTTTGTTGCCATATTAGTTGGCTGTGTTGGAATCAAAATTTCAAAGCGAGTGACTTTCAAATCATTTTGAAAAAAAGGGAAAAAATTTCAATTATGAATTCTTAATGTGAATTGTCGGCCTTGTTTTAATCAATTATGATAATTTCTAATTTTTATTCGCACTAAATATAGAAAAGCAACGAGTTTTTCCCAAAGACATTCCAAGTACTGCGTGGCTCAAACTTTTCGACCATTTTCACAAGAAACGACGCAAATTGTGACTTTATCTATTTTCTTCATGAGAAGAGTCTTCATAATTCCTGCAACCAGGACAGCCCTAAAATTTTCTAGAGGGGAGGCTTTTCAAAAAAAATCAAAAATTTTG